GAGATCTGTTTGTGCACACCGGCGTGGGTATGTGCTTATGGAACTGTCTGATTCTATATGTCTGTCTACGTAAGGATATTGTCATTGAGGCTGGGGCTGTGCCTTCTCTTCCACCTTAGGCCCAGTTGTCTGTTCCTGTGTGTGTGCGCATGTTAGTGTATTACCAGGTGTGTATATACGTTGATTTGCATGTCACTATGGATTTGTATGTGCACATGTGCATGTCTCTCTTAGTGCACGTATACCTCTGCATGTCTTTGTGTGTGCACATGTGTGTACTGGTATGCTTATGTTACCACATCAGTGTGTGGCGATGTTACTCAGCCTATGTGGGCCTCTATGTGCCCCTTCTTCCTCGGTGAAATTAAACCCCAGTGTTGGTTCTTTTCTGGGGCAGCTGCTGTTTGCTTCTTACATTTCCCCCACAATGTGAACTCCTCCTCAAGGCAGGATTGGGGGAGAAGGTCTGGGCCACCCCTCCCCCGCATCTAGATCCTTCCTTCCATTTCCTGTTTGCCTCCTCTTTGGCTGCTTTCTCCATCTTTGCCATCTGGCCTGGCACCGTGCTGTCTCAGTTCCACTGTCGGGAGCCCCAGCCCTGGAGTTCAGGGAAGCAGGGGGATGGGGTGGGGGTCAGGGCAGGGGCCTGGCAGCTCTCAGTGCTCAGCTTGGGCCGTTCTGTGAGACTCTCAGAAAGGGGTGGCTCTCTGACAAATAGGCTCCATTATAAAGAAGCCCGTAGATTTCTCCCCTCGGAAAAGAGTAGTGAGAGCATCTCCATTTGCTTTACTAAAGGATTCCAAACTTTAAATAATAGCTCATCTAATACGTTTTGGCCTGCTTAACATTGTAACTTTTTTGACAGAAAGTCTTGGGATTCTTGGAAAATAATCATTCATTCACTCATTCAGTGTCTAGTATGCACCTCATAATTGTTAGGAGTTATCGGTTCTCCAAGTAATGGTTAAGTGTGATCAAGTGTTGCTGAAACTATAATGTAAGCTTCTATTGAAATTTTAATGCAAGCCATTTTCCAAACAGGCCTTTCAAGGGACTTGGTCTTTTACTAAGTGAATTATACAAGATAGCCTGGAGTATGACAAGAAGTGGATAGGTGATGGGATTGATACAGGAGCCACTGAAACAGGATTACAGGGTGGGTGAATAGTGGGAAGGGGTGGTTTTCTGCTGGCAGCCAGTGAAGCCTGCTAAGTACAAATCTGTTTTGGAACAAGTACAGCCAGAATGCTCCTTAGAAGGGAGGACGGTGTGACTTTGTCTCATGTACTTTGGACATGTTATCGGGAGGACCAGTCCCTAGAGAAGGACATCATGCTGGCTAAAGTGGAGGGTCATCGAAAAAGAGAAAGACCCTCAACGAGATGGACTGACAGAATGGCTGCAACAATGATCTCAAACATAACAATGATCATGAGGGTGGCACAGGACCGTTCTGTTGTACCTAGGGTCACTATGAGTCAGAACGGACTCGACAGCACCTAACAACAAAAACACAAGTACAGAGACTTTTGGTAGAGCGTGGGTAAGGGCTTTGGAAGAACAATAGTGGAAGATGTGGTCCCCACAGGACCTTACCATCTAGTTGGGTAAATGGAAGAAATACACATAAAACAACCTGAGGGGTTCAAAGCAGCAACCTTAAGTGCTTAAGTACTTAAGAGGAAATCATTGAGGAGGGACTTATTTTTGTGTGTATGTGTGTGTGAGTGTGTGTATGTGTGTAAGAGAGATGAGTTTGTGTTACCAGTGCTTGAAGTGAGAGAAAGAAGGAAGTGGGTTATTAAAACACATATATTTCAACTGGACAAAAAAGGAAGTATAATAATTATCTATGGGCACAGATTTCACGTAGGCAGCTGAAAAAAAGTCAGGTGTCCTGTCCAGCACCCATCCACACATTCAACTGTCCACTCTTCTGTTGGAAACCAGCAGGGGACAGCTTGGACTTTGGAGCCAGGTAGCCCTAGGTTTGAATTCTGATTTTACTCCTCATTGACTGACCTCTTGAGCTTCTGTCTCCTTTCTTGTAAAAGTGAGAATAAACACCTACCTCAAAGGGTTTTTAGAAGGAGTAGAGATTATGTATATAGAATACCCTGGGATATGGTGAGCGATCAGTAAATTGGAGCTATTTTTCACTCAACATTTACTGACACAGGCGCTGGAGATACAGAGCCGAATAAACCATAGTCCACGGCCCCGCCCTCAAGGGAGCTCACAGTCTAGTGGGCTGACTAAGAACGTCTAATTACAGTACACGTGGTAACAGCTATGATAACCCTCTGTACAAAGTGCCGTGGAAGCACAAGTACAGGGACGGCGTCTGCCTTGTGGGGGAGGAAAAGCGTCACAGAATCATTAGAAATGGCTCAGTTTGTCAGTTGGAGAATGGGAGGAAGGGCATTCCAAGTTGACAACACAGCACTTGCAAAGGCAGAGTCCTGAAAACAGTAAGGTATGTCCAAAATTGTTATTAGTTAGGTGTGACTGGAGCAAAGGAACGAGGGTGGGGTGGGGTGTGCCCGGAAGTGAGCCTGGATTTATTTGGTTTTTGGCACATTTAAGCCCCATTTAGTAGTACAGGCAGTCCCCAGTCCCCGGATTACAATTGAGTTCCCTTCCTAAGTCTGTCTTTAAGTCAGATTTGTACGTAAGTCAGAATAGTTAGGTACAGTTTGTACCTACTGTCAGTCAAATGTTTGTCTTAGTATATAGTATACATTTCTATGCATTAAAAAAACATTAAATAAACACTTCCAGGTACACTAAAACGTCTCTAACATAATACAGTAATAATAATAATAATGTTTTGAGGTATGTCATAAATTAGCTCCCATTTGTTATTAGGAACTATTGTTTGTTATTACCTCAAATATTTAATACAATAGGCTTTACACGGATTGGTTCCTAACTACAGGTTGTACATAAATTGGATGTTTGTAACCCAGAGACTGCCTGCACTGTCAATGTTAAAATTGTTATTTTCCAGAGGATATGCTTCTTTATTCCCTATAACCACTCTACCTCTTACAAGTATCAAACTGCTGATGATGGTGGTTGGAGGGAGAACAAACAAACAAAAAACCCACAAGAAAACATGTTTGAGTCAGGTTTACAATTTAGTTCCATGTAAGAATTTTAACAGTTCCTTTTGAAAGGAATAAGCTCAGTGTCTTGGGAGAATCGCTCAGGGTCTCAGACAACATATCTCCCTAAGATGGTATCTGGGGTTGCGGTGGAGGGATAGCTTCTCATGCCTTACGGCATTGAGGTAGCTGGGACCTTCAGAGCACTTCCCGTTGTCTGGTTCCTCTGCCGCTTAGCAATGTCCTCTGTCTGCCAGCTTTTCCTGAGGACTGCTGGTGTGGTCTGCCTCTCTGCAACCTGGTTAGTGTAGGTGATACTTCCTTATCTCACTGCCACACGCTCTGGGCTTAGGGTTCCCTCTGAGATCTGCATTTAGGGGGTTCCGAATGAACCCTCTCTACCAAGCTACCATCTCCCTTTTATCACAGCAACCCCATCTGGGAAACTTCTTAGTCCAGGGCAGCATCTGGAAAAGCGCAAACTTCCTATGCCTGGCAAGACTGTGCTGCCAAGTTTATGATGATGTGTTCTCTGCCCAAGGTTGGTGTGCAGACAGCTAATGACCCCTGTATTTCTAACAAGTTCCCAGGTTATGCTCATACTGCTGGTTAGGGACCAATTTTGAGAACCACGAGTAGAGTAGTGAAGCCCTGGTGGTGCAGTGGTTAAGAGCATTGCTGCTAACCAAAAGGTCACTCCATGGAAACCCTATGGGGCAGTTCTACTATGTCCTATAGGGTCACTATAAGTCAGAATCGACTCGATGGCAACGGGTTTGGTTGTTTTTTTTTTTTGCTTGGTAGAGCAGTGGTTCTCACAATTTATTTACATAAGAATTACCTGAGAATCTTGTTAAAATATAGATTCTGATTCAGTATATCTGGGGTGGAAATGCAAATTATCAGCAGGGGTTCAAACCGGAACTAACCGGTTCAAAGCCCCGCTTAAGAGAGCCCCATTGCATTATTTCCACTTGACAGATGAAGATGCAGCGTGAGAGAGATGAAACAAGCTGATCCCAGGTTGCTCTGACCCCAGACCTAGTCTACACAGGAGCAATGGTGGATGTGATAAGTGTACAAAGGAGTTTGAACTTTATTCTTTAGAAAATGGGGAGCCAGCACAGTATCTGGCCCAGGGGAGGTGCTCCAAGTACTTCTCACCACCCGACATACTACCTATTTACTTGCGCTTTATTATCTATCTCCCTCCAATGGAATGTAAACTCAGTGGGGCAAAGCCTTTGTTTTGTTCACTTCTGTGAACATGCTTGGTATTTTCTAAAGGCTCAGTAAACGTTTGTGGAAGAAAGAAAGGAAGGGAGAGATATTAGATAATAGCAACCTAAGTGCTTTACATACATCATCTCATTTAACTTCATAATAACCTCATGAAGTAGGAACTATTAAAGCTTTTTTGTCTGGATAAGGAAAACGAGGTTGAGAGATCAAGTAATTTTTCTGAGGTCACACAGATAGGCATGTTGGCAAAGCCTGGATTTAAACCCAAGCAGTCTGAGTCCAGAGCCTGGGCATGTAACACTGCTACATCCCTGCTGTAAAAGCTATTCTGGCCAGATGGAAGGGAGGGGAAGGATTTGAGGCTGAGAAAAGGAGGCCAGCTAGTTTAGCCAAATAAACATTTGTGCCTGGCCCTATCCCTGCATTACCTTGACTTTGGCTCATCTTCCTATTCCAGGTTTCCACTACTGATGAAGCTGTGACCAAATGCATCCAACCACTGGCAGCCATCTGCCCTTGCTGATCTGCCTCTGCTTGCTTTGGAACCCTCTGTGCAGCCTCCAGGCCCCCACCCTGGGGATGAACACGGTGCCAGAACCCTGGTGTGTCCTGTGATGACCCCAGCCTAGCTCCCCCTCCTACTTTGGCATGATGTTGACCAACTCCACAGCCAACACCAATATTACCAACAACTCTGTTCAGTGTCCAGACTACCGGCACACCCACCACCTGCACATGGTCGTCTACAGCCTGGTGCTGGCCGCTGGGCTCCCCCTCAACGTGTTGGCCCTCTGGGTCTTCCTGCGTGCACTGCGTGTGCACTCTGTGGTGAGCGTGTACATGTGCAACCTGGCGGCCAGCGACCTGCTCTTTAGCCTCTCGCTGCCCGTACGCCTCTCCTACTATGCACTGCACTACTGGCCCTTTCCAGACCTTCTGTGCCAGATAGCAGGCGCCATCTTCCAGATGAACATGTATGGCAGCTGCATTTTCCTCGCGCTCATCAACGTGGACCGCTACGCCGCCATCGTGCACCCGCTGCGGCTGCGCCACCTGCGGCGGCCCCGCGTGGCGCGGCGCCTCTGCCTTGGCGTGTGGGCGCTCATCCTGGTGTTCGCCGTGCCCGCTGCCCGCGTGCACAGGCCCTCGCGTTGCAGATACGACGACGGGGAGGTACGCCTGTGCTTCGAGAGCTTCAGCAACGAGCTGTGGAAGGGCAGACTACTGCCACTCGTGCTGCTGGCCGAGGCGCTGGGCTTCCTGCTGCCCCTGGTGGCTATGGTCTACTCGTCGGTCCGGGTCTTCTGGACGCTGGCGCGTCCCGACGCCACGCGGAGCCATCGGCGGCGGAAGACGGTGCGCCTCTTGCTGGTCAACCTCTTCATCTTCCTGATGTGTTTCTTGCCCTACAACTCCACCCTGGCTGTCTATGGGCTGCTGCGGGGCCAGCTGGTGGTGGCCAGCGAGGCGGCCCGCGACCAGGTGCGCGGGGTGCTGATGGTAATGGTGCTGTTGGCCGGCGCCAACTGTGTGCTGGACCCGCTGGTGTACTACTTCAGCGCCGAGGGTTTCCGAAACACCCTGAGGGGCCTGGGCACTCCACTCCGGATTAGGACCTTGGCCACCAACGGGGCTCGGAAGACGCTGGCTGAACGGCCCACTGAAACCACCGACAACACCATTCCGGATGCCACCAGCCAGGCGTTGCTCGGGCCCTCCTACCCCCAGACACCCTTCATCCAGTTCCCCCAGGATTCGGCACTCTGAATGTACGCGGCGCCATGGCGCCATAGCGCCATCAACCCACCCATGCCCCCTCATCACCTTTCTGTCTTGGAGGCTGCAGGGTGTGCACATGAGGTGGAGTGAGCACCTGTACTTCTGGATGGCAGTCCAAGCTCATAAATGCAGAAAAGAACAAATGTGGAAGCAAGGGGCACAGGGAAGGAAGCGTGCTGGTAGACATTTTTTAAATTGGTGGTGATGGTGAGCACAGAGGTCCTCTTCCCTAGTGGCAGGAAGTGATGCAGTGAGCCTACCTTTGCAGAGGCACAAGACTGAATGAGATGACCTTGGCAGGAGTAGGAGCTGGTAGATGGAGGAGAAAATGAGTATCCTGGATTTAGACCCACCACAGCAGTCTGAAAGCTGAAGAGTCTCAGGCCTTGGTGGACCAAGCTTCTGAGAAGTTCAACTGCTAACTGCTCTGTGGAGTTTAGGGTGATGGAAGCCTTCCCCTCTTGTCTCAACCTGGACATCCTCTGCTCAGCATTGAGGTGTAATAAAGATACAGGGAAACAAGAGTTCATTTAATATGGACAGGATTGATTTCCTTCTTGTTTAAGTGACTTGCAACAATTTATACCCAACATCCAACATGGGTAGTTGGGGACAGGGCAAAACTGTGAGTTAGAGAAGTCCTGTCCGTTTCCCCCTTCCCCCTAGAGATCCAGATCCCTGTTCCCCTTTCTAGATCATCCTTTCTCCCTCCATGTCACTCCCCTTTCAGGGCCTCCTCCATTCTCGATCCTTATGTTTCTCTCTCTCTCTCTGCCTGGGGTGAGAGTAAGGAGAAATTCTGTGTACTAAAGGGGCCTGGGACCCCTTTATGCTTAAAAATTGAGGATGCCAAAGAGCTTTTGTTTATACTTTGTTGTATTGACATTTGCCATATTAGATACTAAAACCAGTAAGTTTTTAAAGCACAGGAGTACACAAGCACATATTCCATCAACTGTGAGAGCAATAATGCCATCACACATCATGAAGCCTCTGGAAAACTCCACTATATACTTGTGAGAGAATGAGAGTAAAAAGTGCAAGTGGCATCTTAGCAGTAGTATTACAAAAATAATTTTGACCTCATTGACTTCCTTAAAGGCTCGATCCCTGCATCATACTTTGAGAACCATACCTGTACTAAAGTATTGGAGTTCATGTGTAACTTTTTCCCAGGGCATTATAGATTTATATACAGTTGTTTTTTTTAATTTTTATTTTTTGCCGGGGTGGGGGCAAAACAGGAGCAGCACACCAAATGGAACATTACATTGAGCTTACGGTGCAGCAGCCTTGAGGTGGGGATGGAACTAATCACACAAACTCTCAAGAGGAGGGGAAGGAGCTGTGCCATAGCCAGGATACAAGAATTCATAATAGGGCAGTGATATGGAAACCCTGGTGGCATAGTGGTTAAGTGCTAACCAAAAGGTCAGCAGTTTGAATCCACCAGGTGCCCCTTGGAAACTGTAGGGGGCAGTTCTACTCTGTCCTGTCTGGTGTCTATGAGTCAAAATTGACTCAACAGCAATGGGTTTGGTTTTTTTAAGAGTGAGATCGGAGGACAGGCATTCTGTTCTTAGCAAGCTGGGGGCAAGGGAAATGGAAGGCTGGTTCATGTGCCACCTACTGTTTCACTCTTTAGCCAAGTTGGTGGGGGTTGGGCAGGAGGGTCTGCAGAGTTGATACTATGACATCTTCAGACCCCAACATTAGTGAGGGAATTATCGCCATGCATGTTTCCTGTCTCTCAATATTGTACGTTCCTCTGTGTGTGTGTGTAAGAGAGGGGCAATGTCAGGGTTTTCCTGTGTGTATGTCTCCTTGTGTTGTAGTTGAAGTAAGTAAACCTTTTGTGTGTGTCTTCATGCGATGGCTCCAGATGGTGATTTACAGGGGTAAAATGACCCCTGGTGGCCAAACTGAGAACTGACCCAGATTCCTGAGTGATAGCCATCAAGTCCGGGCCTTCTTCTGTAGGTTAGAGGCCTCTCATCGGCCAGGTCCTTACTCCACGCCTGCTTATCTCCTCTTCAGCCCCCGGGTTCAGGACCCGTGCCCTTCCTGTCCTGGAAGTGCCAGCAGCACCTAACCTTTTGTCCAAAGCCTCAGCACTTTGCCCTACCCAACAGAACTGAATTGAACAGTTAAATTTTAAAAAATTACTTGAGTACTTTTACATGCAGATATGTGAGTGAATTCCAAAGTAACTAAAACTCACACAGCACATATCACCTTCTAACATACTATATAATTTACTTATTTATTGTAATTTTTATAGTTTATTATCTGTCTCTTCCCCTCCCACACAAGTAGAATGTAAGCTCCCTGGGGGCAGGGATTTTTGTTTGTCTGGTTTTCTGATGTATACCCCGCATCTAGAACAGTGCCTGGCACAGAAGAAGTGCTCAATAAATATTTGTTGAATGAATGAATGATTGAATCTTGCCGTGAAGTAGTTTACTATCTAGTGAGGGCCATAGAACAAGTAAACAATAACTATAATGCAAGACAGAAGATACAAGAATGCAGGGTAACTGTTGGCAGTTGATTTAGTGGGCAATGTGAAGCCCCTGAAGGTTCTCAGGTGAGGTTTTGCTAACCTTGACATACTGTGTAGGATAAACTGTAGGGAAATAAGATGGGAAGAGTCTAAGGGGAAGAAAAACTGGCAAGGGAGCTATTAAAAATTATCCAGTAGAAGTGTGACTGTGACCTGTGGAAGTAAATGGAAATGGTTGGTCTCCAGTGTGAAATCTCTGGTGTTCAAGATCTGGGGGGAAACTTACCCACATTCATTATATTCTAAAGGTTTCCATCACCAGAATAGAGACAATAATAGATTAAAGAGACATGGCAGGGCAGAGGAGTAATAAGCAGAACCTAACAAATAACAGACTGTGGAAGTTTAAGAAAACCTATCACCACTGCCATTTTCATAGGATTCCCAGTTACAGAGTGGGCAGTATCATGGAGGCAAGCTCTATGATGTCCAGAGGTCTCACTGCATGCCCTGGCGTTACTCCATTTGAGGTCTAGGAAAGAGAGGAAAAGGAGAAAGTCTTAGAGAGGGAAGAACATTAATGATTTTTATTTGTTTGCTTGTTTTTTTTGTGTGTGTGTTTAATACTCTGTGTCTGCCAGGATTTCAATATAGTGAGCAAAATGTATTATCTTGTTTAATTATTATAATGACCCTCTGAGTTAGGTAGAATTTTTATCCCCATTTTACAGTCTAAACACCCTAGAGAAGCTGAGGTCTCAAGGTCACTTGTGTGTATCTATTAGGTTTCCAAATTCCTACTCTTTCCACTCCCTTACAGGTACCTCCAGCCATCCTATTCCTGGCTCTATTATATCCACCCTCTTCCTTCCTTTTCCTTCCGTCCTCAGGTAGACCACCTCTCTCACCTTCCCCTTTCTTCCACAATGAATCTGCTGTTACGTTTTCTATCCCTCTTTCCCCAGGTCTTCCTCCATGCTTATTATCCACTTACCCTACAGCACACCCACTCCTTCCCACTCCACATGTCCCAGCCCCCTGTGCTCAACACAGTGTGACTGTGAGGACTGAGAACTGTCCTCACCCAGGGTTCCAGTTGCATTGGGCCCTGAAACAAAACCCATTAAAGGGCTCAGGAAGGAGAAGCTTTGTGGTGGAGGTGGCACACTCAGGCAGGATGAATCAGCCTTCATGCAGTTGGTCCTGATACCACCCCCCCCCCCAATCTGGAATGTACTCAACATCTCTTATGTAGCACTCTTTATTGTCTACCACCTAAACTGATGAGGGGACCTCACCTTGGATCTACATTGCTCAAAGTCTGTCTCCTCTGTAGGAGGGTTCCCTCACATGGTGGGAGTGGTGGTGGGGGTGGGGAGAGTGACAATCACTTGGTTTTGAAATAAAACAAATTCAGGAGAACCAGGAGAGAGGTGAGGGATCCTAAAGGAGGACAGAAATGCCTCCCTCTTAGCCTTGAATCATCTTGAGGGAAATCCCTGCTGGACTGCTACTTGAGGTTCCCTGGAAGAAATGAGCAACGGGTGGGGGGCAGTTAATTTCACACCGAGCCTCCCTTCTTCATTCTTTCAGGAGGTCCTGGAGACAAAGAGAGGCTGGTGGTAATTCTCACCATACTATACTTTCCAGAGCATTGAAGCACTGAAAAAGGAAGTTTCTCACATAGAGTTTGGGGAATCCCAAAGGTTCCCAGAACTTTGCGGTCAAACAAACCTGGATACTAATTTCAGCTCTGCCACTTCTTGGAAAGGTGACTTTAGGCAACTTACTTAGCCTCTCTGAGCTTCTTTTTTTCTCCTCTGTGAAATGGGGATCATAATACGTAGTTTTGGGGTTGTTGGGAGGGTCAATGAGACCACCTCTGAAAGGTAACCTAGAGGCATCCTGTAAATGGGAGCTCTCTTTCCAACAAGAGTATGGGGAGGGGATGCTATTGGTAAAGTCTGTTTGTGATGCCCAAGGGGAGCATTTCTGGAAGACACCAAGGGCTCCAGGTGAATCCTCACCGAGACAGGACTCTGCCAGCAATCAGAACTAGGGCCAGGGGAATGGGGTGAGCAAAGCAATCTGGGTAAGTTTCCACAGTGCTAGGTCAAGAAGACAGTTTTCAGGGGTAGTGACTGGCCTGTAGCCCTCTGGGGGCACTCTCTCCCTGCTAAGCTGATGTCCATCCCACAGAGACTGAGGAGTAGGTGGAAAAGTGCATTAAAGGAAGAGGAGAGGGGACATAGGAAGGAGAACCAAGTAAAGGAGAAAGGGCAAGGGAGGAGGCTGGAGGGGAAGTAAGGGCCCAGGGAGGCACAGGGTGGGGCTAGGAGAGGGGCCCAGGGCAGGAGGGCGGGAGAGAGCCTGGAAGAGAAGAAACGACTGAGGGAGGGAGGGACAGGGAGACCGGCGGCGCTGACACAGCCTCGATGTGTGGAACGGGCTGGGGTTTGGCCCACAGGTCAGGCGTCTGGCAGTATTATGGGATGGAAAGGCCTTAGGAGACAGGGAGAGTATTATGGGCTGGAACAGTCTTAGGAGATTGGGGAATATTATGGGCTGGTGAGGCCCGGCTCCAACTGGAGGCGGGAGGAAGGGGTGCGGGGCGGGAAGGGGGGCTGGTGGTGGAAGGGAGTATTATGGGCTGGAGGCCTCCTGCGACCAGAGGCAAGAGTATTATGGGTTGGCAAGGCCTTCGGTGGCCAGAGGGGGGAGTAGCGGGGGATGGCACCGGCTGCATGTGACTGAGGGGGGGCCAAGTTGGGGGGGTGGTGAGTGGGGGTGGGGGAGCTTATTATGGGATAGCTCTTTGTACCTACTGCGGGGACTGCTTCTCCAGAAGATATTATGGGATGTCGTGTGTGGGAGGGGGGAGTAGGGCTAGGGGATTATTATGGGATGGTGGTGTAAAATGGGGAGGGTCT